ACTGATGTCTGTCCTTTCTTTAGGCCCATACAAAGATAGGTGTCTGTCGATTGATTAAATGACAACACTGATTTATGACTCACTCGCTGCATCTTTGATCTACCACATGTAAGTCAATACTTCCCATTTGACATGTTTTAAATGTGAGCTCTTATAAGATGTTGTAAATATGGCATCCTAATTCTCAACGCTTTCTTTCTCCCTCCCTCTCTCCCTGTCCCTTCCCTTCTACTTCCTACTACACTATCTTCCATTTTATCTCTAAAGATAAAGCTTCATCGGCTACTCCCTTAAAATTCCCATAAAAGACTTCATTTGACCTCAGCAGGTTACCTGCTGATGGTTACTAGCTCAGGGAGTATATATGTCTGGTGAAAAACTCTATTCTACTCTTTAAAAGCCACAAGCTCTCCCAACACATCCACCCTATTTCTGATCACTTTTTTTTTTTCTCTCTTGCCAACTCATATTGTTATAAGTTCTCAGTGAGATTCCACTTTCTTACTCTCTAAAATGTCCATCAGAAACTCTCTTGGGATCCCAATACTCCTGGCTACCTACGGGCAATCCAGAACATGAACCAAATACTTCAACAAGTATTGCAAACAACACATTAACAATCATTGCAATTATTGAGAAAGCTTGAGATGGATGATTAAACAGGTCTTTTGCTGGCTTTGTAATGGCAATAATATTGTATTTCTTTCTTTTAGCATTATTTTAATACTATAATTTGGATGATTATCCAGCAGAATTCCTGACAAGCATCTGGAAGACATCAATTTGAAAGAACCCAATAAATACTAATTCTCTCATTATAAGAGAATAATAAAATTTTTAAGGTTCATGTTGAAAAACATTCAACATACATGTACCCTGCTTTAAAAATGTCTATAATTGTTAAACATAATCCATATTACAAGAGATTTACCAATTGTGAATTCCACATAGAAATATATTTTCCACCCCTCAACGTAACCCCCAAGTAAAATACAGCTAATTCCACTCTTGGGGTATCATCCACATATAATTTATCACTGAACTGTTGGAAGAAAACTGTTTCTCCTTAGGACATGTCCAAAAATAAAAATGACTAGTGTGTATTACAAAATGAACTCATTCTGTCCATGAGGGGAGAAAGAGCTCTTTAAAAGAAGTCACAGAGTCAATTACTGTCTTAAACCTGAAGAGGATAAAATCCATGCATTATTGGAAACGTAAAACCTAAAATCAAGTATATACGTTTTTCACTTCAAGTAACAAATTGTCTTTCTTACCCTGTTCTACTCATTTAAAAGGAATGAAAAGCTATCCTTTTTCCTGTCTCTTTTTCTCATTAACTCTCCTCAAACTTCCCTAATGGGAAGCGATTCAGTCAATAAGCTAAATAACAAGCCAATAAGCATCAATGAACAAGACCTTTCTCTTCTTCTCACAGAGATCAGTTAATGGAAGATGAGACCATCTTCCAAGATCTTGAGTTTTTGTCCCCCATCAATACGAAATTATCCCCAGCTTGACCTCAGTGGCTCCTAAACTATTACTAATTGTTGACTGTAAACTTAAGACTTGAGATAAAAGCTACGACATACAGCACCTACTACAATGGCGGCTCACTTTTATAGGTGCACATGTTCATCAAGTTGTATGATTACACAAACTCCGATGATTGAATTCAAGTCATCAACCCACAATTTTTGTCTGTAACGCTGAGTGCTATGGATGTGGTTCAGCTGAGAACAGTGCTGTTTCCCAAACATGATCGCATTCTTATTCCAAGAAGCTTTGATGGGTCTTTGCTAAGTGCATACAAGCTAATTCCGATCTAAAATTCAAATTAAGAAGCCAGATGCAGCCAAGGTCAGCTGAAGGACCCTCAGAGTCTCCATCAGATAGGAACAGACCTCAAAGGCCAATAATCAGTTCTATGGTCACTAGCTAAATGTGGGACTTCTAGGCTTCAGATTTTGCCTCTATGAATGATAAATGTGAGCTAAACAATTTCCCAAACCCTTTAGAATTCTAAAGTTTTATACTAGCTGCCACTGAGCTTTTCCACAGGGTCAAAGGTAATCTTTTTTTTCTTAATTGGACTATAATTGCTTTACTATTTTGTGTTACTTTCTGTTGTACAACAACGTGAATCAGTCAGCTCTCTCTCTCTCTCTCTCTCTCTCTCTCTCTCTCATATAAGGAGAGTGAAAAGTTGGCTTAAAGTTCGACATTAGAAAACTAAGATCATGGCATCCCGTCCCATCCCTTTATGGCAAATAGATGGGGAAACAGTGGAGACAGTGGCTGACTTTATTTTGGAGGGCTCCAAAATCACTGAAGATGGTGACTGCAGCCATGAAATTAAAAGATGCTTACTTCTTGGAAGGAAGGTTATGACCAACCTAGACAGCATATTGAAAAGCAGAGACATTACTTTTCCAACAAAGGTCCATCTGGTCAAGCTTATGGTTTTTCCAGTGGTCATGTATGGATGTGAGAGTTGGACTATAAAGAAAACTGAGTGCTGAAGAATTGATGCTTTTGAACTGTGGTGTTGGAGAAGACTCTTGAGAGTCTCTTGGACAGCAAGGAGATCCAGCCAGTCCATCCTAAAGGAGATCAGTCCTGAGTGTTCATTGGAAGGACTGATGTTGAAGCTGAAACTCCAATACTTTAGCCACCTGATGCAAAGAGCTGACTCATTTGAAAGGACCCTCATGCTGGGAAAGATTGAGGGCAGGAGGAGAAGGGGATGACAGAGGATGAGATGGTTGCATGGCATCACCGACACAATGGACATGGGTTTGGGTGGACTCTGGGAGTTGGTGATGGACAGGGAGGCCTGGCGTGCTGCGGTTCATGGGGTCGCAAAGAGTCGGACACGACTGCGCGACTGAACTGAACTGAACACATATATATACACACACACATATATCCCCTCCCTATTGAGCCTCCCTCCACTCCTTCATCCCAGCCCTTAGGTCATCACAGAGCACCAGGCCAAGCTCCCTGTGCTATACAGCGGCTTCTCACTGGCTACCTATTTTATACATGGTAGTGTATACATGTCAATACTAATCTCTCAAATCATCCCACCCGCTCCTTCCCCCTGAGTTCACAAGTCCATTCTCTAAGTCTGTAGGACAAAGATATTCTAACACGTAAAAAGAACAGTGACCTGGACCCACAGACCATTTTCCGACAGAATAATCAAACCTGTCTTTAAAAAGGAACCCCCTTCACCAGTAGACTTTTCAACATGCAGGGTTTCATAGAAGAGACAGTAAGAACAGCTGTTGAAGGAGATCATGAATCTTGCCTGTTCTGAGGCCCTCAAGGCAACAAGCATGTTTTAAAACAAACAAGACTTGTTATAGCAAAGCTGGTGATGCACATTTCTTGGATTAAGTTCTTGAGATCTCTAAGTGCAATCCACAAATAATACTAGTTGTGTATCTTTTACAATCTGGGAAACAGTAAAAAATCTCTCTTTAGGCAAGCCAGCATATGGAGAGAAGGGCAGATGTACTTTTATGAAGCAGTTAGCTGAGTGGTTTAAGGTATGCCTTCTCAATGGAGAAAACACATTGCATTTACACTTGAATATTTCTTTGGAGGGAAAAGGTGTTCTCAGTTATCATCTTTTCCAAATCCTTATCACAGGCTTGCAATGAAAATGCTTATCCTTCAGGCTAAGTGATATATATTTGCATATTATTATAAATATGCTAATAACATTTTGCATTAACACAGAGGATGGAAGTACTTTATTAGATACTTTAGCTCATGAATCCACAGGATATCCATGAAATAGCTTGGGGAGAGGGATGGTTTGCCAACTTTTTCAAATGGCAAGAAACTGCATGGTTTAAGCTGTTTGCACAGATTGGTCTGACAAGCCCCGTGTAAGGCCTGATAAGATATCTGAATGATAACTTCAAGTTTGGACTGGTTGACACTACACTCCTCTTTTAAAAAGATCCTGATCTTTATTTGCAGTGATTCAATGTTTTATTCTTCTACCCTAATTGTCCACCCTGGATCCTTCTAGTCCATGGCAGAGGAAATCACTAGAAATGGTAAAGTGGCTGCAGGTGACCTCAGGGCATTTTTCCAAGCTTCAGCCCCTCACTCTCTGCTTCAGTCCTCTCAATGCATCCATGTCCTTTAAATTGGCATCTCAGCTGACCTGCATGGTGTTAGCCCATTTCATCTTATAATCTCACTCCAATCTCATTCTCCTTGTTTAACTTGAGAGTTTTCTTTTTATTTTTTTTTAGGGTAAACTAATAGATATTTATTAAATCATGATTCCAACCTTCCTATATTTACTTAGTATACTTGCATTTCTAAAATAAAAGGAAATAACCTTTCAGAATTGCAATAAAATTTTAGTTAATTTTATTTAGACTGGGAGTACTTTTTAAAGTTATATTTGTGAACTTTTTACTTCTTGTAAGCATGAAACAAAAGTAGAATATCAGTTTTGCTGCCTCCAAATATGACAAGACGAAAAAAATCACATGAGGATGTACAACACCCATGATCGAATTTGTTTAGCTGAGAAAATTTTCAAACTTTTTCTTTGCTTCCAGAAGTTCATTCTGGAAGCAAAGATGTTCTTTGCTTTGGTTTTGGCCTTGGTAGAATGAATTTTAATCTTCAGCCATTTGTCCTCCTGCAACAATGTATATTAAGGGCTTTTTAAAGGTAAAGCCCCTAAAAAGTGCCCCCTGCCCCTCGCATCCCACACTCAACCTGCAGATGAAGAACACGATATATGCCACTGGGGCCATTCAATGTCACTGGTCATGACCTCAGCCCTGCGCTCTGTCCAAGGAAGGAAACAGGACAAATAGAAAGCCCCCGAGCCAGAAACAAAAAACCCTGGCTCCCTTGGATGCCTGAAGTTCCCCACCAGGATATCAGGGTTTTCTGAAGGTTTCCAGGAAAGCCTCAAAGAGCCCCTTCATTCCAACCCGGACAGGGCTGACAGAGGAACTTACCATGAGGGCACTGTAGGTGTAGGGATAGTGGTAAGCCAGATAGCAGGCATCTTCGGCATGCGGGAAGGTGATGGTAAAGGTGAGCGTGTAATAGCACTTTCCAGAAGCTGCCCCTGTTATGGCTGTTCTCTGGCGATAATGATTTCTAGAAGAGAAGGGAGAGAGAGGAGAATGAGTGAAAGGTGGGAAGAATTGTCATTTAGATGCCATAGACCCAAAATCACTGAAGCCATGAAATTAAAAGGCACTCACTTCTTAGAAGAAAAGCTATGACAAACCTAGACAGTATATCAAAAAGCAGAGACCTAACTTTGCCGACAAAGGTCCGTATAGTCAAAGCTATGGTTTTTCCAGTAGTCATGTACAGATGTGAGAGTGGGACCATAATGAAGGCTGAGCGCCAAGAACTGATGCTTTCAAATTGTGGTGCTAGGGAAGACTCTTGAGAGTCCCTTGGAGAGCAAGGAGATCAAACCAGTCAATCCTATTCCCAATTTCCCAAAGGAAATCAACCCTGAATATCAATTGGAAGTATTGACGCTGAAGCTGAAGCTCCAACCCTTTGACCAGCTGATGCAAAAAGCCAGCTCATTAGAAAAGACTCCGAGGCTGGGTAAGACTGAAGGCAAAAGAAGGGGGTGGAAGAGGATGAGATGGTTTCCATAGTATCACTGACTCAATGGACACAGGTCCGAGCAAACTCAGGGAGATAGTGAAGCACAGGAAGGCCTGATGTGCTACTGTTCACAGGTTCGCAAAGAGTCGGACATGACTTAGTGGCTGAACAACAACGAAGATCAAAATGCTAGTAAGTGCCTTGAACCCAGATCTGCCTGCAAAGCCTGTTCTTTCCACAACAATACTTTCTTCCCAAAGGCATACATTTGTTACCCCCGATATGGTTCAGCTTGAGAATGTATACTTTCCTTTGTCAAAGATGAAGACCCAATTTTGATACTTCAGAGAACAGTATCAAGGTAAATTGCACCCAGAAGTACATTCCTAGCAATATTTTCCCCACACTCTGCCAGTTACACTCCCCTTTTGCCTCTTGATGCTGAGACAGCCTGGCAGGCTTTCCTGAGAAATGCTATCATCAAGGCTGCATTATAATGCAAAATACACCCAGACACAGAAAGATGTAATTCCACCTTTGAACATTAACAACGTTGGCTTTCTTGTCCATTGTGCTTTGGGGTTTCACTGGGGGAAGGGTGGGGAGAGGGAAGAAATAGCAGATAATTATTCTGTGTGTTCTTGCAAGTATAAAAAATACAGACTATTCTCTTCTGCCTTTTTTACCACTTTCATGACACCTCCCGCCAAAGTTAAAAGAATCAAGCAATCAAGAAAGGAAGAAATAGAAAATCTACTCTCTTGTTTCTAGTGGTTTGGTAGTTTTTCAACACAAGAAGTCCTCTACATACAGACGAGTTCTGTTCCGAAAGTGTGTTCCTAAGTCCAATTTGTTCTTAACTCCAACAAATATGATCTAGACATCCAACTAACACAATCAGTTACATAGGGCTATACTGTAAAAGGTCTATAATTCTTTTCACACAAATAATACATAAAAAATACAAAAAATAAAGAAAACATTTTTCATCTTATAAGACAGGACTTATAAAAGTATAGTACAGTAGGATAGTACAATAGCTGACATGCAGGGGCTGGCATCAAGTGAACAGGCAAGAAGAGTTCCTGATGGAGAAGGGAGAAGAGGTGGGAGATGGTAGAGCTGAAGGGTCGTCAGCAACAGGAGACGGGGGCAAGCTGCAATTTCACTCACACCTAATATGCCATCACTCACACGGATGGCACAGCTTCTGGTTCCTGGCTGGATTCAATTCTATCTTCCCCTTGAAAAAGCAATTCAGTGATGCACGTTCACATCTTTGAGAGTTAAAAATTTGAAGGTTCATATATAGGAGACTTACTGGATTCATAAAACTAAGAATGGGAGAAAGAGGAATTCACAGTTCCATGGACTATAACCTACATTTCTCTTGTCTCAGCTTCTGCCAACATGGCATTCTGGGTCCCTGATCATTCTAGTGAAAGAAAGAAATTCCCAATGATGTAAGTGTCAAATGATGATCCCGCCCAGGTTCTCAGCTTCCTATTAATAGGAGCCATAGCCTTTGTGACTACAGGATTAGAAACTTCAAAAAGGCATCTTCATCCATGGTGCTCTCTGGCCCTTGATACCTAATTGGGTCTACTCTCTCCAGATTTCCTTAAAGTTCTACAGTTTCTCCAGAGCTAAGGTTCTGATTATTAGCAAGTATGTAAAGAAGCAGATGGTAGCTCAGAAAGCATGCAAACCACATATGCTCTACCTTTTATTCATTCTGCCTTCACTCATAAAGGCTCTACGGCAAACACTCATTCAGTTTACACTAGCAATTATACGTCTCTTCAAAGTGAAATGAGCCAGTCATCATTTTGGTCAAATGGTCAACATTTTGACAACCAATCAAAATGTGGAAGAGAGTTTTACATGCATGAGTGTGAAAGCACACACACCCCACACATACATACTCACGAAGGTAAAGGTGTTACCAAAAGAGGGGTCTAGCTACTTACCATTCAAAAGCCATTAAAGAGGCCAGGTTGGTAGGAAAAAAAAGTTTGCTTTATTTAGATGTTTAGAAGCTAGCAACTGGGGGGAGGGTGGACTCCAGTCCAGAGGCCAACGCCCCCTCACTCCTGACAATCAAGGGATGAGGCCTTTCTAGACAGAGGGAGGGGGCTTCATGCAGACACAGCACACACACACAACACAACTGACAGTCATCTTGAAACTGGTCATCAGTGGTCTGACCAGCATCATCCTGATTGCTTTAGGTACGGTTAATCCTCAGTTCCAGCATCAGTTTGCTTCCGTGCCTTTGAGGCCAGTTCCTGGAACTGTGGCAGCTTACGTCATGGCCACAGGCTGCTCCTCATGTGGCTAACTATTTCACCCGGTGGGAGTTTCAGTATCTATGTGACAGCTCACAGGATGTGGCCCAGAACGTTATCTGCAGCCCTTGAGAAGGAGCTAAGTGTTGCTGACTGTGCTTAAGGGCTATCTCATTGTTATTATTCGGTCTCCTTGGTCGTTTTCCTTAGTTTCTACATGATCTCACTTCTCTAACTATATTTGTTCTTTGCCTAAAGTTTTTCTACAGACAAAATGCAGGCTGAGAACATGAGGGAAAAGGACCACAGGGTCTTGCTCTCTTTTAAAGGCAGGTAAAAACACACAACTAGGGCCTTGGGCTTCCCTCGTAGCTCAGTCAGTAAATCATCTGTCTGCAAGGCAGGAAACCCGGGTTTGATTCCTGGACTGGGAAGATCCCCTGGAGAAAGAAATGGCAAAGGACTCCAGTATTCTTGCCTGAAGAATCCCATGGACAAAGGAGCCTGGTGGGCCACAGTCCATGGGTCTGCAAGAGTCAGACACGACTAAAACCAAACCAGTGCCTTGTCTTCCCTAATTTTTTCACCTACATGGAGTAGAACCAGAGCCTGCATCTTTCTTCAAGATTAATAAGATGCCCCCAGGGTGAGTGGGGGTGGTCTCATCTCACAGGAGTCTTGTTTCTTTTTAGGTTTCCTACTATATAATTAGAGCTAACCAGGTGGTTCGGTGGCAAAGAGACTGCCTGATGAAGGAAATGTAGGTTCGATCCCTGGGTCAAAAGATCCCCTGGAAGAGGGCATGACAACCCACTTCAGTATTCTTGCCTGGAGAATCCCATGGACAGAGGAGCCTGGTGTGCTACACAGTCCATTGGGTAACAAAGAGTCGGACACGACTGAAGGGACTGAGCATGCATGCAGGCATACAAAAAACACAGTGAACAGGATTCAACACCAGGTTTGGGATAACTCCAAAACCAAGGTTTTTTCTTTTCATTCTATCAGCTGTCTCATAAGAATGGGAAAAAAGGCAAGAAGTGTTTTTGTTTAATACAGCAAGAATTTGACGTTTTCATTTTCATAAATTGGGGCTACCTCTAAAATAACTGAATGTAAAACAATTCAGAGGAGAGCTAGTGAAAATAATTCATTCACTATCATTCTTTATGTCATCAGTATTTGATGCCACTAAGATGCTTCTATTAATTATTAATCATTGCTAACACTGATGGAACATCTAGTATGCACCAGACACTGTTTTAAGAGTTCCATGGGCTTTATCTTATTTCGTTTCATCTTCAGCACAGATCTATCAAGTAGATGCCATTTATATCCCCTTTTACTGATGAGGAATCTCAAGTTGAGAGAGGCTGGGATAATTTGCCCCAAGATCACATCATTAACGAGGTAGAACTTAGATTCCAAGAACTTTCTCTCCTTGATCTGTTCTTCTAGTGGGAAAAGAAGCCTGGGGATACTCAAGTGTGCTCTCAAATTAGACAGACCAGGGATGGGGGAGCCTGGTGGGCTGCCGTCTATGGGGTTGCACAGAGTCAGACACGACTGACACGACTTAGCAGCAGCAGCAGCAGATACACTGTGCATGCTAAGTTGCTTCAGTCCTGTCCAACTCTGTGCAACCCTATGGACTGTAGCCTGCCAGGCTCCTCTGTCTAAGGGATTCTTCAGGCAAGAATATTGGAGTGAGTTGCCATGCTCTCTTCCGGGGGATCTTCCCGACCCAGGGATCAAACCTGCATCTCTTATGTCTCCCACACTGGCAGGCGAGTTCTTTACCACTAGTGTCATCTGGGAAAGGGAAAGTGAAAGTCAGTCAATCATGACCAACTCTTTGCAATCCCATGGACTATACAGTCCATGGAATTCTCCAGGCCAGAATACTGGAGTGCGTAGCCTATCCCTTCTCCAGGGGAGCTTCCCGACCCAGGAATCAAACTGAGGTCTCCTGCATTGCAGGAGGTTTCTTTACCAACTGAGCTATCATCTGGGAAGCCCCTTGGATATGTCATCTTAGGTCAAGGATAATATGGAGAGATCAGTCATTCCACAGTTAAAAGGCTCCCCTCTGCTTTTCCATTCCCTGAACCATTTATCTTTGGAAGGATCTGCACTTCTATAATCATAAAGCCTTCAATGAAGCAAGGAGCAAAGTACACAAATGCATAGTTATGAACTCCATCTATTTCCATTTGTACTTTAAAACAGGCCAGGAAGTCA